AATCCCGTAGAAACGTAATTTATTGAAATCTCATAATTATCAACGTTTCTATCTTCATCTGAATTATTCGCATCTTCAGAGATGGTTAAATCCTCATTTGAAACAAATTGTTCGTTGATATTATTTTTTATATCAACATGCTCGGTTCGTTCATTTTCTTTCTTTGAAGAATGAACGTCTTTTGTTTCAAGTATTGTCTCTTGCCTTTTAAGTTTTCTTGGTTTTACATCTTTTGAACCAAGTGGTCTGCCACGCTTTTTGCGTATTGAAGACTCATTTGCAAGAGTTTTTTCATTTTTCTCTGAAGGAATTTCAATTCTGGCAAGAGCATTCATAGCTGGAATATGTGACTTTGTCACTTTCTTTGAATCTGTGAATGCGTCAGGTAATTGATTTGCAACATTTTGTAAATGAATTATCTTTTGCACTTCTTGTTCGCATGCATTTGTTCTTGAATCAAGAAAAGATAATCATGTTGCATTCCATGTAATCTCTTTCGTACATGGGTCCTTTTTCTCATTTTCTCCCCCTAAGACTGGGAATACTATCTCATCGAAATGACAGTCAGCAAACCGAGCTGTGAATAAATCACCAGTCATTGGCTCAAGATATTTTATAATTGAGGGAGAATCAAAGCCAACATAAATTTCCATCCTTCTTTGAGGACCCATTTTTGTACGATGTGGTGGAGCAATTGGTACATATACGGCACATCCAAATATTTTTATTTGAGAAATATTTAGTTCTTTTCCAGTTACCAATTGCAATGGGGAAAAAATATGATTTGCAGTAGGCCTTAGCCAAACTAAATTTGCAGCATGCAATACAGCATGCCCCCAAACAGATGTAGGTAAACTGGATTTCATCAATAATGGTCTAGCAATTAATTGTAACCGCTTTATTAAAGACTCAGCAAGACCATTTTGAGTGTGCACATGAGCAACTGGATGCTCCACATCAATCCCAATAGACATGCAATAGTCATTAAATGATTGGGCTGTAAATTCTCCTGCATTATCAAGTCGGATTTTCTTTATTGAATAATCCGGAAATTGAGCTCTCAAACGTATGATTTGAGCAAGGAGTTTTGCAAATGCAAAATTTCTTGTAGATAAAAGACTTACATGTGACCAACGTGTTGATGCGTCGATCAACACCATAAAATAACGAAATGGTCCGCATGCTGAGGCAATTGGCCCACAAATATCTCCTTGAATTCTTTCTAAAAAGCAGGAGATTCAACTCCAATTTTATTAAGAGATGGCCTGACAATCATCTTTCCAAGAGAGCAGGCAACACATGGAAAATCAATTGATATTGAAATCCTTACATTTTTCAATGGATGTCCAAGTGAATTTTGAAATATTTTGTGCATCATTACACTCCCAGGATGACCCAAACGATCATGCCACAAAATGAATGTTTTCTGGTCATCTAATTTTTTATTAGAGACAACATTCACTTCAACGGGACTAATGTGAGTATAATATAGCCCCGAGGAATACGCTGGCATCTTTTCACAAAGAATTTTATTTCCAGATTTGGTTGTCGTTAGACACAAGTATTCCTTTTTATTTTCTGTCATGGTTTCAATGTGATAACCATTTTGACGCATATCCTTAAAGCTCAATAAATTCTTTCGGGATTTGCTGGAATATAATGCGTCTTTGATAATTAATTTTGTTCCTTGGGGAAGGATTAAACAAGCTATTCCAGACCCTTCAATGAGCTTCGCAACACCAGAGATTGTATTGACATTAGTTTCCATCAATGTCATTTGAAAAAAATATTCTTTGTTTCTCAAAATGGTGTGCGTTGTGGCACTGTCAATTAGACATTGTTCTTTGCCACTAGAGCCATAAGCAGTTATCTCTAGACCTGGCAAAATGGTCGGTCAGGTCGGGTTCGGGTTCGGTCACAACGGGTTCGGGTCACTTCGGGTTCGGGTCTAAGGATGCTTGTTCATGACCCAGAGCTATCGGGTTCGGGTTGACCCAACGGGTTAAGAGGCGTATTTAAAAATTGTAAATTTTGCATTCAGAGATGAAGTGATCAATGCATTTTTTCAAAACATAGAAAAAAAATCATTCAAAACAACAACAAAAAAGTAAACATAGCAAAAAAATTTCAACATCATCATGTCCCAAATGAACCATTCAAGCACACTAATCAAAATACCAAATAATTTAGAGTTCAAACAAAATGATTAAAAGTTCATTCTCAAGTGAAGTCATTCCCCATATCAATTTGATGCTTATCACGAGTAGCTTATCATGATGAATAAACTGTATTAA